CAGAGAGTGTCAAATTTGGATAACTTTTGATTCTATAAGCGTGCCATATTGACAACCCGCAATTTCCAAAGCTTTATTATAAACAACGCCATTTAAAATCGTATAGAAAGCAACAATATTGTATAAAACATTAGTCGATTTCGTTTCGTTCCGTTCCTGCAATTTTATTTTGAAAAACTAGAGTCTAGCCCGTATGAAAGCTAGAAGATGGTTTTAAAAAAACTCCAATATGTATTTGGCGAGCGATATACGACAAGCCACTGAGATTGCGGACCTTTGGCCAATAATAGTACCTACCTATTTAAGAAAAGTAAAGTTATAATTCAAAATCCTTACTAAGTTCAAGTAAAAATATGTAAAATTTCTAACTAGCAAATATTAATTTGCGATTTTGGTAGTATCAGATTAAGATTAATCACGACGCGAATACAATAATTAGATAATTATAATACCGAAAAACCAAATTTCACGCATAAGAAGTAGCGGGCACAGCTTGTAATATATAATAAATAAGTATAGGTAGGTATACCTACATACTTAAGTTTTCGTGTAGTAGGTAATGTAGGTAGGTACTTTCTATTGATTTTCTATAAACTAATTAAAACGAAACATGACGTCAGGTGACCAAAAGTTGCCCAGAATGATGTATAAAATACAGTTCTTTTATTTTTGTAGACGAGTTCCCAAGCGTTTAAAACAATTTTTTTAGGGTTTAAAACGACACAATTAAAATCGTTTTAAATCGGTTATTTTACATATATATCCACGATCAAATTCAATTAAGGCTTGAATTTTGCTTTTGATGATCATAATTCTAATGAGGGGAATTACATTATAATACGTTATAACTTCCGGATTAGTTTGTAAATCAACGACAGTACCTACCTTTGAACATACTTAGTTACATTCGTATTTACGCATAGGAATAGTATAAAATCAAAAATTAAATGCGATTTACGTGAACTGAAAGCATGAATCACAAGGTGCTGAAACCTTCAATTCACTTCACATCACCTAGTGATGTCGGATTCGAACCGACCAAAAACATACTGTATCTATTCCGTCACAAATAAGTCTATTGCAGAGGACCTGGGACCCCTAAAAAAGGAAGCCACCGAGAACTCTTAGATAAGCCAGCTTCAGCAAGGATAACGGTCACCTTGACGCGTTACCCTAAGGCCCTTCCCTGATCATAGGCTAACATCGGTCTTTTTTTATAGACATGGTGTTCAAAAAAAAGAAATCGTTGTTATTTTGACGTTACAAAACATTTTATTAAGAAAGACAGAGAATCGGAATATTCTTGATAGATCCTCTTAAGTGACATTGTGAATGCGGCTGCCCACAGTGAAGTGTCAAGTGCCATCAACAGAAACTGTTTGCAATGGCACTGAGCTTTGATTTTTAGCAACGAGTAAGAAACTTGAATTGCGTAAATGCCTATAAGAACCCACTTGTATGTATTAGTCTTGTTATTGAACAAACGTAAATCAATAAACTTAAAGTATATATTTATAACACTACTTTATAATAATATTTTTTTAATAATTTTGTTAGACTATCGGTACGAATGTTATCTAATTGTTTATTTTTAACAAACTTTACACCAACATTACTTCTTATAATTTGTATTGATTTTACCATTTTACAGGAAACATCCTCCTACTGGGCAACGGGGGCTACAATATTGTGGAGACGAGACAGGAGTGACTCACATTTTGCCGGATTCCCCGGCAACTGGTACCCTAAATTACTTGGGATTCGAGTCTAAAGTAACCACCCCACTGGCCCTTGGTAAATGGTATACGAGGGGACTCGGGAGACGAAAGATTTTCAGTTCAATCTTTTTTTGTCTGCTTAGACTTAACACTTCCAACATTTCCCGAACATCCCTATTGGTTCCCGGAAGGCGGAGTCTCGAAGACTGTGGCAATATCCATCTATCGCCCTCTCAACTTGTTCATTGGACGAGTTTTCCGAAAGTTATTTTATAAATTTTGTAAACAAAAAATAGTATGTGGGACCGGGGTTCAAAAATATAGGAGGGATGACCAAGCAAATCATAGCAACGTTTATCAACTCATTGTTTCAAATTGTAATCAAGTTCATTATTCTTGTGAAAATTATTTTGTATTTTTCCGGCAGGTCTCTTTTCGTGAATTTCCGCATCCAGTTAGTCAAACATAATATACAAATGTAATCAATGTAAATCGTTCTCAAACATACGGCAAGAATGAAGATGATGTATGTTCATTCTTGCAGTCTCTCTTCCTTTTGTAGCGGTGAACTACCGGCATCCACTCGCTTCGCGTTCGGTTAGAATTCACCAAAAAGGGTTCAATAAAAAAGGAGTTGTTTGACTAGAATATTTGTATGTTCGTCCTCCATGTTCTTGCTGCTAAACTAAACCGATGCCTAGTTTCTATCTAGTCGGTGTTATATTGCGATAATGTAAAAATAGAGGTTTTTCGCGCCTAAATGTATGTTTTCAATTTTACTTTGTCCCAAACCTATCGAGTGAGGTATGAAAATTGTTAAAAGGTAATTAAAAAAATAATAATAACTTCACACATCTCACACATGGCCGCCTGGTCCCAAATATCATAATAATCATACTTATATACTTCTAAAAGAACAAATGATAGTGCTCATCAGACAATTATTCCCTCAATAGGGACAAAACCAAGTATGTTACATTTACAATGCGTAATGTAGGTAAATATGCCCTCGGGTGTACACTCTTTAACAGCTCACAGCTGTTGTAATGGTATAATGTGCTTGTCCTAATCTAGTAGCAACAAACTCCGTGAAGTACTTGGGAGTTATCATCGATAATAAAAATCATAATTGCGAAAACTCACTTTTGTTTTAAAAAATCTTAGACATGTGGCAAGCGAGATATGATGAGGCAGATTTATCTAGCGCTTGGACAAACAGTTATACTGTACTGTACAGTATAACTGTTTGGGGTTGGGTAGGCAAAACAATCCTGAAACCATTGGAAATAAATCCAAGGATCATACTCAAGGTCAGTTCATTTCGACCATACCGGTACCCTACGTATCACCTATATCGGTTCTTATGGTCTGACAGTTGTCTGTAGTGTCCGACCGAATGTTCGGTTTCGGTTTCGGTTTCGGTCGAGTTTCGGCAAAAAAAACGAGTTTCGGTTTCGGCAGCAAACCTGCCGAAACTACGACCGAAACCGAAACTGCATTCGGGAGTTTTCGCGCTGTGCTCGGGTGTGTTCGGCGCGGTAAATGACACCCAAGCGACGATGACATTTGGCCGCGTCCACGTGCGTAATCATGTCGTAACCTGTTTGTAGTGCATTTTGTTTGTTGTGAGTTTATCATTCTGGAGAACCACAGCCATCTTGTTCATCTAGAATAGTGTCTTCCGAAAAAGCAGAAGGGCTTTGGGACGCCCATGATAAATCTACTTGTAACTTTATAGAAACCTCTGGTGTGGAGAACAGTGATTGTTTAACTAAAATTAAGCAAACTATTCAGGCATACTTGTCAGAGCCTAGATTACAGAGAAGTGCAGATAATTATTCTTACTGGGATTCTAGTCCATATCTGTCTTTGAGAAAGGTAGCACTGAAATACTTATCAGCTCCACCAACGAGTGTTTCCAGTGAACAATTATTTAGTGCTGCTGGACAAATTTATTCAGACAGAAGGAGCAATCTGCGAGGCGAAAATGTTGATAAACTATTGTTCCTTACCTATAATATAAGATTGTTTAACTATGAATATTAATAAGAAGTAACATTAAAGTATACGATTAGTTTATAATTTAGCTTTTGTTTTTTGTTGAAGTGTTTATACGATGATTAAGTATAGAAGAAGTTAATTTGTTTTTAAGATAAAAGTGATTTATATTTTTTGTTCATTACTTAAATATTAAGTACCTATCCACCTATAACTGTTGTGATATTAGGTAACAACATAAATGAATAAGTATTAAAGCTACCTATGTGATTTAAAGAAAAAAAAAACTGACTAATAATACATTTTCTTTATTTTTTTCTGAAAACATGATCCTTACGAGTATAATAAAGTTTCGGTTTCGGTTTCGGTTTCGGCCGAAACTGAGACCGTTGCCGAAATTCGGTTTCGGTTTCGGTCGTAAAAACCAGTTTCGGTCGGACACTAGTTGTCTGTATTGCTCACTTTAATAAAACAGCATTCTTTAATGGGTCCCTTAAGCTGTACGGAAACTAAAACGAGAAACCATTTTAAATCTTGTTCAAAACCTCTCTTTATCTCCTCCTCTCTTTGTCTATGTAAGGAAATATTTTTGTTTTCTAGGGCCTTACCTACATGCCGAAATTATTAACAAAATAAAATATTCGAATTTATACATAAATTATCATATGAGGAAACCGAAAATCTCTTAAATGTGCAACAGTAACCTTTCTAATCATCCTCTAACACACACATTCACATGCTCACTTCACTCACAGAGAGGACAAATAATACGATTTATTCAGCTTCGATTTGCAGTGATATTTTTTTTAAACTGGTGTAAAACATTTGTTGTAATAAATGGTGTATATATAAATACATCACTTAGATGTAATCAGGAAAGAGCGCTGATGTCTGGGATACAGATCTCTTATTAAGTCCAGGTACAGATGCTCCAATTTGAATGTATCATGTAGCCACAGTAATATTTGTGAAACCATGTACTATGTAAAACACTGCCTAATAAATAAATTATTTTTATTATTTAATTATTGTCGTGGGTGGAAATTGAACCCACAACCTCTGGGTCGTGAAGGGGCTTACACGAATCCTGAGTATCTACTCATTATTAAGAAGTGAAGAAAGCTAAAAATTTTAAACAATCAGTAACAAATCTATACATTATTTACACAGTCATATTTCCATTCTATATATAATTTAATGACGATTTCGAGTTTTCTATAATAAAATACGCTAAATTATGTTAATCGATTTATTAAATAAAAAATTTAGTAGAAGGGCGCAATATCACCAAGTCAATCGCATTACATGATCGGTCTTCCTCTTCGAAGATTTAATGAAGCCTAGGAATTGTAGTTCAGCCACTGCACGCGTGAATCTCAGTCTGTGAATATATTAACATCTTTTTATAAATATTCATTATACTTAAATGTTTTGTTCAAGACAGGTTTACTAAAATATACAATTCCAAAAAGGTCAATTGTACATTTTTTGCATCCAATACATAAAATAATATGGTAATAATACTTAGTAATGTAGATTTTATTAGATAAGCCGAGTCTGTGAGCCGTATTATTTCTATTCTATTACATAGATGGAATCTGCACTGATCTTTCCTTATGCTTAAAAAATCTGTAAGTGGAATTGTTACCTATTAAAACCACATTTAATAACAGTTACAAATATTTATTCAACAACAATGGGACTATCCAAAATTATGTTGCACGATCAGCATCAAAAGTCGATGGACAGGTACTAACTTAAAAATCATTTAAAAAAGCGAGTTGAAGGATTACAGATAAATAAATAGTTTGACTAGTTTTAATTACTTTAATTTGGTAATAATACAAGACAACATATACTCGTGTTAACGGTGGCGGCGCAACAAAAATGAACGGACTGTTAACATTAGATGACGGATAGGTGGCACTAGTCACTCACGCACTTCGTTATACCATAACACGAGTTTAAAAGAAAACATTGAACTCTAAAAAGGATGATTTGTTCCAGTTTCCAATTCCCTCCAACGCATCGTCATCATTATGCTGGGGCCGGCTCAAAGGGCGGCAAGGCACTAGTTTATTTGGAGTTGCGTGTGGGCGTCGGCAGCCACTTGCCATCAGATGGCTCGTCTGCTCGTTTGGCTCTTATGGCATAAAAGTAATCACAAGCAACTAAAGTAATGTGCAAGACTACAACTAGGTGTCGTAACTATTATTAAACTACAACTAGGTGTCGTAACTATTAAACTTCAATAAAAAAAATTAAACACGGCAGGGCGTTAAGATCATCCCCGATCTACATTCTACCGATCTAGGGTGCTATCGCGGTAAGGTATCGACGGCTTGACTGCAGTCAGGGTCCCGTGCCATGTTGCCCAAGCTGGGCAAACCGCAAACATACGCTGAGTCGAGTCCTCATTACAGTCAAAGAGTTGGCAGGTAGAAGCTCATTTATCTCTGGCAACTGACTTCAGATACCTTCAGATATCTCGCCAGGAAGTCCCAAGCAACCATGCCCGGTAAGCATCTGTGTCAGTCGGAATAAAAGGGTACCATGCTGTTGCCCAGTGTACTCAATGATGATCGCCTGTATCACCTCTATGGTGTTGGCCAACACGTGGAGCCTCCTGAAACTTCTTTTTGAATGCCACTCACACGTATAACTATGTTGCTAGTGCTATATAGCGTTTGATGACTTAAATCAGTTCAGCTTTGTAGTTTAATTATTTAGTTACAAGTCATTTTGTGTGTTTATGGATGAATGTTAGTACAGGATGTGCGACGCTAAATACCTTCAAATTAAAAAAAATAGTTCAAGGGGATATTCGGGTAAAAGCACTAGTTTTAAAAAAAACTGGAAAAAAATTGTTCGTGGCAAGTTATTAAAGTGTAGTGTGAGAAAAAATTAAGAAAATGAGAGTTGCTGAAGTTAAATTCGTTAGAAACTTTACGAGAAAAGACCTTTTCGCTCTTCATTTTAACGGGTAATTGGGGTAAAAGTATTAGTTTAAAAAAAAACTTAGGAAAAAATCAGGTGCGAAAAACCTGTGAATTGAAAAAAGGTCAATTTATTTAGAGGAAAAGAAAAGGTCGTGTGGTGTGAGAAAAAACGAAGAAAACGAGTTTTTGAAGTTAAATTCGTTAGAAAATCGTGATTTTTGTACACAAATTTTAGTTGCAAAATAATATTAGGTTGCCGCACAATTTTCGAAAATGTAAAAAAAAATCTCTTCTCTCTCTCTCTCTCTCTCGGTAAGAAAGCATCGTACGACAATGTAAAAAATGCCTTTTTTTCGTTAAGACTTGCCCTACAACTTCTGTACTATTATAAATCTCCCAGATGCATGACAGAGCCGTGAGAACGCAAAGAAAATCGAGCGATTTAGGTAGCAGAGGGAGCAAGCTGGCAGCGCTCGATTTTCTTTACGTTTAAAATAAATTTTAGCGATCGACTTCTGTTGCTGACTACACAGATAATCCAACCTGAGTCCGAATGAATTCAAAACAATTTTCGTTTTCAAATATTTTTCTTGTATAAATATCTATGGTATATGTAGTATAATAAGTGTATCTTATAAATAGCATAACATTGTATGTTTGGACATTTGGACAGTTCACCTTTAGAGTTCCGTAATACCTTTAAATCAGAGGCCATATTTTGATTAGACAGGCACGCCTACAGATTTAATCTTTGCATGAAAATTGTAATGAAAATAACCGATCATTCAAGGTTTATCTGACTTTCTGATTTGCGGTTTCTTTGTCATTATACCTCTTAATTTATCGTTCTGACGTCATAATTACTGATGAAAATAAACAAAAGGGTTATGTTACTTCTTAGAAATGACTAAATCTGCTCTCGACATACTAAAAACAGTACAATAAAATTGGAGGTCAGTCAAAAATACTTACTGTATATTAGGATCTTGATGTCGGTGTTCATCATCTTCATCAGGACAAATAACGGCAGCGAAGGCTTGTAACCAGTCGTAAAGATTAATATGTTTGCCACATTCACGGTGTAGCTTGTACGCTAAGCAGACGTCGGGTAAGGTGTCTATTACGCTGTCCGATGATGGTAACTGGCAGCAGGAACACTGAAATAGAGGCAATTATCATATCAAAATCATAAGTATAAGAAGAATCGTCGGCAAGAACTTTTATTTTATGGAAGTAGTAATGAAGAAAAAACAAGCTAAGTGCGTATTCGCATGCGTAGTCTATAACTACTAGTACTAAATTTTCATTTACATATACTTTTAATAAGCCTATCACTCTCTAAACTTCTCTACTTTTCCTTCCCTTAGCCTAATCGCTAAGTGTAGGGAAAGTACCAGTATGGTAGGTAATTTGTTGACGTAATTGGTGTTACTCTTACTTCGGTACTAATAGTTTAAACCCTTAACAGAAAGGTGGACTTTTTTATGTATGTTTGAACCCATACATTTCCAAAAGTACCAAACAAAAGCAGCAACAGTGACAAAACGATGGAAGAGTTACGCACCTGTAAGTAGTGTACGGGATTACTCAGCGCGGTGTGCACGGCTCCGCGCGGGGAGCCCACGATGTGCTTTTTGACGTTAGCCACGTCCTTGAAGCACAAGATCTCGTGAAACGTCTGCATGTGAGGAGGCTGCAGCCCCTTGCTTAACGTCTCCTCCAAGTAACTCACGAACCGGCTTCGAACCATTTCAAATTCCGATTGAACTCTGTCAACTCTGGTGGCTTTCAATAATTTCTGAAAGAATTTCGCAATGTAACTGGAAAATGTTTACAAAATTTTATCCTTATTTTTCTATGCGGAACTCCCCTCGGATACTACCTACCGGTGCAAGTATCATTCCTGAGACAAAATCGCTCCTAGAAGCCTGTGAACGCCCCAGGAGGCTTCTGCGCTTCTGGAAGGAGCTTGGTTGACTCACCTAGCTAACCAATCCTCGACGCATAAAGGACCACTCTTGAGTCTAAATGCGGAAACCGAAGCCCACAACCAACCAATACCAATACCACCTACCGGTGGCTATGTCGGACTCGAACCGACTAATAACCGCACGCAGTCTCGGGTACCAGTAACCCGACACCGCGTGCAGCAGGTGTACCCTAGAAAGGAAATCCCTGGTACCCAGACGTACCTAGGGCCATCTACGGCGGGTAGATGACCCCCTCCTGTGTGGGAACCCCATGTTCCCTTGGTGCTCCCAAAAGAGGGCGCGCGCTCCACAGCGCGTGTCGCCGCCATCCAGGCCTGCTTCTGCTAGTCACCCACGGTGGAGTTCCGGCCAGGAGACTCGCCGCCTCAAAGGAGATCGTGCGGTACCCCCTTTTGACCCTGATGGTCAGCACTCGCTGCGGTCGTCGCCGTAGTGCAACTTTGCTGGCCTTCAGGGCCCCGCTCTTACAGGGGCCCCAATAAGGGCCATGGACCGCACAACGCCCGAGTAGAGTACAAAATTATATCCTGTATGTAAATCTTATAATAAATACGAGTGGTGTTTACATTTATGAATTATTTGTAAAACCACTGTGTGGTATGAAGATATTGAATAAAATTGTAAGTCAATCATCATCATCATCATCAACAGGCTTTAATAGTTCACTGCTGGACATAGGCCTCCCCTTAGAAAGGAGGTTTTAGCCTACTATACCACGCTGGCCAGACGGGTTGGTATAGGGTTTGTTTCAAGTTTTCCTTCTCTCTGCAGTGTTGTTGTCCTGCGTAGTTTTCTCCCTTAGTCGCCTCTTACGACACCCACAGGATGAATAGGGGTGGTGACACTCTGTATTCTTAATCCGTCACCACGCGGACAATCAAATAAATTCATATTAACTCACTTCCTTTAACTTATATCTGCTTCCAGGTGTATTCTCATTGTTAACTTCGGTCGCCGGTAAACTATTTGAACTGACAGTATACTCCGGATTCGCATTCTCGATTTGTCTCAGAAAAGTAAGTAAATGAACTCTCAAAGTCTTCGCGAAATTTTCTCCAAGATCGTCACTGAGTACTATACTGTTCAAGTTGTTTTTCGTAGGTGATGACCTTAGTGGTTTTACAGGTGATGCAGCTTGCAAGTAAGAATTGACTATCTTTAAACCGTTTTTGATAGTTTCTACCAATTTCATTTGTGATTGGAACTTTAACAGCTGCATGCAATCTTTGAAAGCTATTGTTTCGGTGATACTTTCAACGACACATTTTGTGTAGATTTCTCGAACCTAAATAAAAGAAGAAACAGTTAGCCATGTGACCAACATCATGATGAAAAAATAATTGTAATGTATAACTTTCTTCCAACACATTAAGTAAAACGAATTTATACTGTGACTAGGGTAGCGTACGTATGTGTTCTTTTTCCGACAGTACAAATTAAGGTTAGGTAAATTTAGAAAATACACACTTTATACTCACAGATCTCCCGACCATATTTTTAGGCAAATCTTTAACCATTATATTTAATAACCTCACACACATGTAAAAACTATGCAGGTAATCATGAAGTTTATTTAGCTTCTTATATAATGCTTCTCGAAAGAAATTGTCATCTTTGAACAAACTGATTTTAGTTCTACAATCCTGTTGTTCTAAAAATGGTCTGAACGACATCAATTGCCTTATGTTTTCGAGGTCGTCTGAGCTTAGATCCATAACCGCTTCTTCAAGTTTGTCCCTGGAGCAACACAACGATTTTATATTGTCTCCATAGAAATGCTCCATCATACAGTACTGAAAGTAATTGTCCAAAATTAATATAGCATTCAATATACATATATAGAAGATACTCCCTAGAATTGTATAGTTCAAAAGGCTCTTTTGAAACTAGAGCATGTTGTTAAATTATATAGTACTGCACGGATGGCGTAGTGGTTTAAGCGCCACGCCGCTTACTACAATACTGCGTGCTGTGGGTCCGATCCCCACATGGAACGACACTTTGTGTGATCCAAAAATTGTTGTTCTGTGTTGTTTGGAAAGTCCCCCGCGACACAGGATATGTTCCTAATGCGGGAGTTGTCTTTTAAAAGAAAATAGTTTTTAAGCATTTCTGCATAAATTTACAATTGCTTTATGTTAAAAAGTTTTTAAATTTTTGTAAGTTTTATGTAAGTCCAGGTAGGTACTGTCTTTTATCACATTTATATAAAGAGATTAATGAATTATTTTTTATATGCTTACTAAATTAGATGAAGATTACTAAATATTACCTTAATACTCTGAATGAGACCTGTGACGGAAAAATCATAGAAAAGAAAAACATCAGTCAACAATTCAAATGCTTTTCCTGAAAGATGAAATGGTGTACTTGGTGTTAAGAAAATATCTTCTAATACCTGTAATTCAAGAGAAATTGTATATCAAAAGGTACATTTTTTATGAAATGTTTTAAATTGATAAATCTTATTTTATAATAACCGTGTCTGCAAATATTCTAATTAAAAATGGAGCCGTTTAAATTTTGGTTGCGCTTATTTGGAGTGTTCAAACTAATCAGAGCTTGTCCTGTTATCCAGAACTTGAGTAAACTACACTTATCTGTTTTCTTATTCAATACGCTTTAATTAACGATTCCCTAAAACGCTGCAAATAACGACCTTACTATCTCAATGAAAAAAACACAGTGCCACTCTGTGACTGCCGACGGCAGTAAAAACTTGAAAATTAAAAAAAAATTGATGATAACAGGAAAAAATTAACGATAACGGTAACAGTGTCGCGAGTTCAATGGTTTTTTTCCATCTCCAAAAATACTTTCTTTTTTTTGTTGTATAATAAACGTCTGTAACTAAAACACGCTTTCAATCAATATAGTTACTAAAAATAGAAAATAAATTTGAAAAAAAGCGTGGGGTGCTTTTTACTATTGACAACAGGCACCCAACGCTTTTTTTCAAATTTATTTTCTGGTTTGGTTTTCTATAGAAAGCGTGTTTTTTAGTTTTTTTAAATTATATTATTATTTATTTTTTATTTTTTAAATTAGTGTATTGTCATCGGTCCTCAATATAACTACAAAGTTTGAACGAATTCTTTTTTTTCGAACGAAACCATTTAAAGTCAGTCAAAATCACGCATAAAGGAGTCGGTTACAAACATACAAACAAACATACAAGTGAAGCTAATATAAAGTGTGTACAAACTCGATTTTTGGACACTTTCATAATAACGAACACTCACTCGGTTGAAAAGGCACAATCTTTTTTGTTAACAAGATATGAGCACAATACATAAGCACACGGTGCTTTAAAAAAGTTATTAACAATAATCTTGTTAATTTTTTTATACAGTCCCCCATACTTGGACTACTTATATAATCTATGTGAATATATATCAGATGGTAACATTACACATATGTAATGTATATATAACGTGACTTACTTGATTCATGTACACTGGTGAAGAATGTGAATGAAACACTTTTATCAATAGCTTAGACGAGACATTATAGGGGAATGATTTATGGAGCGCCGAAACTGACGTCGCCACACCAAACACTAATACTATTGGTATTGTTGACACATATGAACTGCAAAAAAAAAAAAACAAAACAGTGGATGTAATAGAATCCTATTTAAAAAACAACATTTAAGGAAATCTTTGAATTCTGATCATTAACGATCGAACTTGCAATTTAATTTGGTCACCAAGAGTGTTAATAACCATGTCTATCTTGCGTTTGCGTTTTGGAGGTAAAAAGTTTTATCATTGCTGAAAAGTGCAACTGATACTCCACCAGCAGTGTCAATTATCTAAGTGATAGGGATTTGCGTAAATATTACTTGTTACGTTATCATAAAATAATATCACAGCTACATTAAAAAAAAAGGTGAAGTGAAATCAGTATGGTTAGATCAGTCTCTAAGCTTTTAATAATAATACATTTCACAAAGAGAGTTTCACTCCTTAACTCATAAATACTCATTAAAAAGATAAGACTAAGTAAATATATGTATATTCTTGCCTAGACTTATGATATAGTAGCATATCTTTACATAGTATAAAAGATATAGTAGCATATCTTTACATAGTATAAAATAAAGTCGCTTTTTGTGTTGTACACTTAGATCTTCTAAACTAAGCAACGGATTTTAATGCGGTTTTCACCAATAGAGAGTGATTCAACAAGATAGTTTTTATGTATAATACATGCATATTATAGTAGAGAAAATAAGATAATTTCAAAGATTTGTTGTAAAAACATGTTTTGTGCGCTTACATTGCAAACGCTGACTAAACCTCACGAGATAGACTAAAATAATTTACTACAGAATTGCATCTTAAAAAGATCTACAAAAAAGTCCGCGATGGTATATGTGTATCTCCTAAAGATAACCCACAGTAACCATTTTCATTTAATTGATATTACAAAAAATTAATGGGTTATTTACAAAGCTATTTTAATGCATTATTATTCCTTATCCAACTAAATACGTTAGATACGTTGTGCATTTAAAGTAGATTAAAATTGCATTAAAATAAATATGTTAGGATATATTTTAATGTATTCTAACATATTTATTTTAATGCAATTTTTCCGAAATTTAAAATGCGGGAGCCCCACGACCGTCGAGATGTACGTCCGTCCCGGATCTTTAGATAAATATTGTATTTAAAGATGTCCTGTAGTATTTAGTCCTATCATAATAATAGTATAATTAATTCACACTGACACCACATTAGTAGTATCTACAATGCACCCGCGCGAAGCCGGGACGGATCGCTCACTAGCGTAATAAATACTAATAGTGAGTCAACTCCGCTACTTAGAGGAGCAATGCTGGGGCGCGGTATAAAGAAATGCGCCGTCCCCCTCCTGCCGGCGACGTAAATTTTTATTATTTGATTAGCTCACAATAATACTATTATCTCGTTGCTTTACCAATAATATAAGAGAAAGGTATTATAAAACTCTTGTTGTATTCGGTGGTTTAATAGACATTTACATTTAATTACATATATTTATTAGATAATATTATTTATTATATTATGTAAATTACACATAATTACATTAATATTGTGATGGAAAGCTGCAGCAACCACATGGTTGTCTTGAATTCAATTTTACTAAAATCTTTTCCCATTATCTTCACCAACTTAAACCTGTTTAATATAATTTGTTCAACCTTTTATCCAATATTTTAAATGCAAAAAGTGAACTATAGGGAATAATGTGAATGATTGTCTTATGATGACCGTGATGTCCGTGTGGTGACAGATTAAGAATACGGAATGTCATCACCCCTATTCATCCCGTGGGTGTCGTAAGAGCCGACTAAGCAGGACAACAGCACTGCAAAGACAAGGAAAACTTGAAACAAACCCTATACCAGCGTGGTATAATAGGCCAAAACCTCCTTTCTAAGGAGAGGCCTATGTCCAGCAGTGGACTATTTATAGGCTGTTGATGATGATGATGATTGTCTTAGAACATTTGTGAACCCAATAAGCCATAATCTCAAAAACCTCAGGTTTTTTTGTATGAGAGCTTTAAAAAGCACTACATGAAATTGTGTGCTAGAGTTGGAATACAATTGAGTCAAAATTGACTTACCTAACGATCATAACAAAATCTTGTAATACATTGCAGTTGAAACTTTCAAAGTCAGGAATTATTATGACTAGGGGCCTATTTAAGTGTAATGCTTTTTTCTTTGTAGGTGATGATGACAGGTAGTTATTATGATACCAACTTTTAAGCATCTTCATAGTGCATTGATTTTTTTTTAATTTTTTTGTTGGACTTTTGGTTTCCTCCATGTCCTCATTGAATGTAGTATCCTGAAATATTAGAAATTAAACACTTAAAACGGATGCTGGGCAAATAAATAATAAATGTAAATAATTAATATGGTTGTGCAAGTTGCGTAAGACAGTTACAAAGTGAATTTATTTTTAAAAACGTACACTAAATATTTGATTAAAATCTACTAATAAGTTGCAACAAACAAAAGAAAATGGTGGTGATAGAAATGACTGAGTTAGTTTATCATCAGATAGGTTCAGAATGTCAAGCTGCTGAGTTTAATTTATTATGTATTTTATTGATATACATTTCATATATTTTATTTATTTCATTTTAATTATAAAGGAATTTATATTTAATGTATCACAACCATTAAATTGTGTAATTATGATTTACAATTTAATGATTGTTGTTGTTGATACATTGTATATGTATAATAAAAGAAACATATACACACCATGATTTCATTTCCTTGCATCAGTTGCCAAACAGCATTTTCAACTAAATGTTTTATAGTAACTGCATCTTGTGAATTTACTAGTGCAATATGTGGTGTCACTTCTTTTCTACAAAGTAATAATATTATAGAAAAAATAATTTAAGGTTCATTTACATAGTAAAATTCAAGAGTTGTTTGTTTTGTTTAATCATGCTACTTTCTGGAAACATCAGTCAGATTTAAATTATTGTTGTCGTATTGAAGATTATTTATTGAAGAATATTATCATACAAGAAAAGGGGAATAATTTAAAAATGTTATATGTTTATAGTAATTTATGCCATGTCATTATAGGCCGCAAATTAACTATCATACAAAGTACTACTTTGTCAATTACGGGATGGAAGTGCCTCAGCATCAGCTAAAGACTAGAACTGAAGATTAATCTCAAGAGTTATGCTCTAGGCAAAATGATTGGCTTTAAAAGTTTTGTTAAAAATATTGGTTACTTATCTTGATGATAATTAACAAAATATTTTGAACAAAACCTTTTTTACTGTTTTTTATTCCAATACAACATTCATGTGTTTTATATAACCAAAATAAAAAACAGGCTTGTTGACACAGATAAATATCAAAGGCAGGAAAAATTGTTTTGCATAGCTTTTGTCAACAGGTCAGTGGCATTACTCAATATTATTATTTTTAATCTGCAACACTTTCACTGTATATATTTTTGTAAGTAAATATAAATTTACCTGATAATAGTGACTAGTGACTTGAACTGGGAAACATGATCTGGCTGACTTACTCCAGTTAGAAGTGTGACGCTGGGTATGACACCTTCTAATGTAGACATCTCATTACCACATTGCTTTATATGATTCACTACATCATTAAGCAGCAGGCTGTAGGTCTTATTATGTAACTCCTGAAAAACAAGAAATTCTACTAAAGTAGAGTAGCAGTAGTATTGTGTAGCTAGGCAGCGTGACCCGCAACCACTTTCCGCCATCGTTCGCAATCGCGAACATTTTAATCCCTATTACCTGGATAATTGGTGCTCTACCACTGTGCGCTTTTTAACACATTTTTTGTAATAGAGGTAATAATCTGTGGAACAAGTTAATCGTCGTCTGCGTAATTTCCAGACCAATACAACCTTCAAACCTACAACAAACTTCCTGAAAAAACTGGCAACATGTTTGTGACTCCTGAATTGGAGGTGTTAACAGGCGGCGGTAGTCACTTTCTTTCTGATGATTGTCTGCTCATCTGCCCCCTCTTCAATAAAAAAAAAATGAATGCAAAGGAAATGGTTGAGGGTTTGAACTTTACCCAGTTAACTTAGCTTCAAGGCTAATTTCCGCATTGATTACTGTGACTGCAGGTGAAATGTTGAGTGCTAGTAGTGTCTAATACTGTTTATCTGGTGTGCTTAGTTAAGCTACAGGCACCCATACACTGGCCACTAACTAAGTAAACATGAAACAAACATGTTTAGAGTGAAGAGCAAACAATGGCACATGTGTTAATGTGTCGCATTACCACTATTCTTGAAAACTAAGTTTTTTATGTAATATTAAAAAAAAACACAATTCATTTATATCAGTATAAGTCTAAAATTAATAATGATAGAGGAAAGTCACCAAATATGAAATAGTATCCTAATATGGAATTCCTTCATTTCTCTAAGACTATAAGTATGAAACGCAACACTCGACCATCTTCTGTTTCATTCGGTCTACTAACTATCGCACTCACATTATCGAGTCAGTTGCGCGAACCCTTCACGTGTGGCAGGCGTGTTTTGTTTTGTTGTCATGCAGAAAATTTTAAAGGTAAGTAATAAATGAGTATTACCAGCTGTTATGTTTATATACATAAGTGTTATACTATTTAGTATATAGGTATTATGTTTATTTCACCATTTTGTGATCTTTTGTCATTAAAATATCAAAGTCAAAGTCAATATCAATATCAAAGTAAATTTCAAGTCACACTTGAAAAAATATTTAGAAGAGTATGAACTAGTATAAAAATCCAAATATGGACAGTCGTCGGTGTCTAATTATGGAATATTCCATAATTAGGTCAAGTTCTGGTAGAAATACCTGCACCTTCGACTTCTGGGCTTAATCGCAGCAGTTTGGATCTGGTGTCTCCGCATGCCATAAGTCCAGTGCCAGAGAAACGAAGAAAAGTATCTAGCAGAGGAAGAAAAGCTGCTGTAGCAGTAGTCATAACATCTTCTCCCCACAAAAATAATTTAAAAAATAAAAATATGAAGAGACAAGAAAAAGAAAGTAAACTAGTCAAGACAAAGAATAAGAAGAAAACTGCAAAGAGAAACAATCAAACAAAGAAAAATAAGGATGATAGTGAAGAAGAAGACTCTGAGGAACTAGACGTTATCCAGTTTGATGAAGGTAGTGAACATGATGAGTTGATGGCCCAAGTACCTCCTGACTTTGCTGATGCAGAATGTATGTTCTGTTCAAGACTTTTTTCCGTGGATAAAAGTTGAGAAAGCTGGATTAAATGCTTGATGTGTGGGCTCTGGGCACATTATGATTGTGCTGGTCCAGAGTTTGATACTTGGATCTGTGACTTTAGCAAGTAATTATGTAACTTGTTTCATGAATCACAATATGTTATATTCATTTAATTGATCTCAAAGATATTAATGTCCATTTTTGTTATTGTTATGATGATTTATGCTTATATTCCATATATGGGTACCTATTTCATATTTGGTTACTCATTTGTGATATTGTTTTTTGTGTTAGATTTTAATTTGATAACTAATATATTTGATTAAAGGCTGTGAATTACTACATATAAATGTACGACGGATTAGTAAAAACATTAAACTGATTTAATTTATATGAAGTTTTTTTTTATATCCCAAAAACAAAATGGTATTCCATATTTGGTGACTTTCCTCTAATGTGAGACTCCTCACACTAAGCCTTTTGATCAGACAGGGTATATTTCTAAACCTTTAAATATGAAAATTAAATTAAGTAATGGTAAAGTTAAAAAACACATAAAACTTGACACATACCCTATACCAACCCATCTGGCCACCATGGTATAGTAGGCCAAAACCCCCTTTCTAGGGAGAGACCTATGTCCAGCAGTGGACTATTAAAGGCTGTTGATGTATGATGTGAAAGTTAAATTATAACCAGACAACAAAATTTATGATGCTCAAAACAATCATTTGTGATAGGTGGAAATAAAATGTCTGAATTCTGACTATGAGGATCGCTTAACAATCACTAAACTAATATTAATAACATTATACTATTACTATTATACAGTTTGATTTGACTCAACTTGATATAATAATATGGCTTTAGATAGACATACATTAATTTATAAATAGTAGGTTGAATAAAAAATATTACTCTTTAAATTGAAACAGTGTTCATAAAACAAATATTTAAGAGGTTATCTCATTCTGTTGATACATACATATTAAATGAAAATAAAATCTTTTATGATGATATGTTATTACGTACATATTTATACATACCAACAGTTCATTTTCAATGACTTCCCAGTTACTTTTGTAAGTTTCATACCATAGGTCCTTCTTAAACATTTTTTCAAATAAGAGATGTCCTTTTTTCTTTTTATTAATAGTCTTACCCTTTTTGAATCCATTTGGAAAGAGAAACACGCCCTGAAATATGTTTAATGAATATTAATTAATATTTAGCCTGAAATATATTTGTATACAAACCGATTCAGATTGTAGAACGTGTAAGCTGAGGTGCTGGCTACCGGCAGGTTTGCAAAATTATAGATGCTTCTCAGTTTTTTCTACCAAAACACTCCTATTAGAACTATATTCGGGCATCTAAACTAAAACTTATTTATTTTCTAATCAAAAAAAGCATTAAACTCAAGTTACGACAGTTTAAGTTTGTATTTTATGGTTTGACAGATAAAGTTGCGCAGGTCAGCTAGTAATATATAAAATAAATAATACCTTCGAAACCGACACAGTGGACTCCATATCCATACTTTGTAAGTAATTCTGTTATAAATACGCGCGTTAAGTGCAATCTTCTTCTTCTTCTTATTAAATGGCAAACTGTGCCGATGTCGACAATTCTGCCAATGTCAAGTGCGATGGAAATACGTGGGTTAAGAGAAATACATAAGAGAAAAGGAATTTGCAACCATTAAGTTTTCCAAAATTAGCAGGTGGACTGCATATGGGTCTTTTGATTGTGGTTAGTACACTGAAACAAACAGACAAATACGAATAAATAAAGTATGTATGTAATATATAAAGAGATAATTAGTAGACAAACACAAATAAACATCACAACATTAAATTAGGTACACAGGTCAAAGTTTGATGCCATTGCAGCGGATGAAAAACATCAAGGCTTGTAAAAGTTTTGGGGAGGAAAAGGTAAGTAGGGATGCAAAGTTAATAGGGAGGGGGATTTTTAATTTAGTTAGGTATGAATAAAGGTCTAAGGATGGATTATTTTTACTACAATTAAAGAAGATGTGGTCCAGGTTGCCTTCATCCAGGCCACACTCGCATAGAGACGAGTCCCGTACCCGAATTTTATTCAAGAAGACAGGTGAGCTGCAGTGGCCAATACGAAGCCTACATATGGTGGAGACAACTCGTTTGGACACCTTTTTAAAATTAAAAAACCAAGGCTTCGGAGGAATGCGTGGTTGTACTGAAAAATAGTACCGGCCTTTAAATTGTGCGGACCTGTTCCATTCCGCCTGCCAGGATGTCCTCAACTCTCTTTGAGGCAGTCTTAAGAGGTCATAGTGATGGTGAACCATATGTTTCTGGTCTGCCATTGAGGAAGTAGCAGCTCTTCTGGCTAACGAGTCTGCACACTCATTGCCCATAATGCCACTATGGCTGGGAACCCAGACCAACTGGACCAATTTGTCACTATTGAAGCAATTGAAGAGGCTTTTTTTGATTTCTAAGATCAAGGGGCTATGGAGTTTGCTATGGAATGGATCTTTTAGCAGGGCTTTAAGACAGCTAAGAGAATCAGTAAATATAGCAGCCTTATAGATGTTGTGCGATTCAACATATAGGCATGCCTCCAATACCGCGACACACTCGCCCGTAAATACAGAAGACTCTTCTGGGCACTTAAACTGCAAAATGATTCTGGAGTTTTGGTAGTACACCGCAGCTCCAGTGTAACTATCGCTTGACAGTTTGGATGCGTCTGTAAAAAACCTCTCAAACCCTACCAAGTGGTCATCAACATAAGCGTTAAAGGTGGGAACAGCCGAGGCAGATCCCTTAGGAATTCCCACATCCAAGAACACATTCGGCTTAAAACTAAGTATACTGTATTCAAATGAAAAAAGAGGAAGTTTGTCAAATTTTACAGTTAAATTCGTAAAGGGAAAGTAGTAGCGAAAGGATTGCAGAATCAATGGAATTTCTTTATGTGCCCAGTACTTAGAGGTATTGCAAGTTATGTCTAAGTCAGTAATTTTTGGAAGAAGAGGGTGGGTCAATTTACAAATAAATTTCAGAACAAAGCATGAAGCAAAATATTGTCTTCTTAATTTTAGAGGTGGATCTGAGCATTCAGCCTGTAATGCGTTAATGGGGGATGACTTCATGCAACCAGTAATAATTCTAAGACACCTAGATTGGATCCTATCCAGAGTTGCTAATGCGCCTTTATTGCATGGAACCAGTAGAAAGACACCATAGTCCAATATGCTGCGCACTAAGGCATTGTACACTAGCTTCATGGTGTATGGATGGGCTCCCCACCAAACTCCGGCCAGGGCCTTTAAAATTGGGATAGTTCGTTCACATTTTGAGGCTAGATGGTTAATGTGGTGAACGCCAGTCAACTTAGAATCTAAATATACCCCGAGGAATTTAAATTTATTAACTAGAGGAATTTCCTGCAGCTGTACTTTGACATCAATCTGTGGCAGAGTCTTCTTTCCAGTAAAGACAACGACTGCGCTCTTCTGTGCAGAGAGGCTAAGGCCGTGGGATGATAGCCACCGCCACAGAGAATTAAGGGAGGTTGTGAGCGATGTGGCTGCATCTTGGATGGAATGGCTGGTTACATACAATGCCAGATCGTCGGCGTATTGTAGTATACTGCAATCATTGTTTAAACATGAGCCCATATCTGCAGTGTACAGGTTGTACAATAGAGGGCTCAGTACAGAGCCCTGTGGCAAGCCCCTCCACGTCTTTCTCTGGTCGAACTCCTCTCCTAAGATCCTTAGGACTAGAGTTCGAGACACAAGCATTGCACATATGCAATGGATCATTCTGACCGGAAGTCTCAGCTGGTGCAGTTTTTGCCTGAGAATGGGTAGTAGGACATTGTCATATGCCGCAGTTATGTCGAGAAAAGATGTTACTGTGGACGCACCCTGCGACAGAGAAAGACGGATATCGGTTACCAACACCGCAACACTGTCCATGGTGCTAAGACCTTTACGGAAGCCAAACTGATAATTAGGTAGTAGATTCCTTGATTCCACAATCCACTCAAGACGGATTTTAATAAGGTGTTCAAGTAATTTAGGTAAAACTGATGATAAAGCAACTGGTCTGAAGCTGTTTGGGTCTCCTGCATGTTTGCCAGGTTTCAAAATGGGAATAATTATTTGAACCTTCCACTTATCCGGGACCCAACCATTGGTATAGCAAAAATTTAAAATGTTTAGGAAGTAGGATTTTGTACTAGAGCTAGCATTGGCTATAAAAGAGTATGGGATACCATCCATGCCAGGAGCAGAGTCTCGCACATTGTGAAGAACCATGTTCAGCTCCTCCAAGGAGAAAGGCTCATCGTGAGTACCTAGCGACTGAATTGGAACACTTGGTTGGGAGACTTCATCTAGATGTGGGACATAAGGGGGGGCAATTTTGTCTAGGAGGAGTTCAGCTGTGTCTGTGGAGATAGAGGAAGACACTGAGGGAGAGCATCCAGACCGGAACCGATTTATGTTCTTCCACACAATAGAAGATGGAGTAGATGGGGACAAAGAGGAGCAGAAGCTAATCCAACCAATGCGCTTTTTGCGTCGGAGGAGTCGCTTGGTAGAAGCAAAAACATTTTGATAATTTAGTAAATTTTGAGTTGACATGTGAGCATTGTATCTCCTTTCGGACTCTTTTCTTAGCCTAATGGCATTAGTACACTCACTGTCCCACCAAGGGGGTGAGGGAATTTTGCCCCTAGAGGAATTCTTAATTTTAAAGCAGCTGTCCGCACTTGACCTAATTGCATCCACAAAGGCATCACAATAGTCCGTCACATGGCCGCGATCATCGTAGGATAGGGATCTGTAGTCAAATCTAGGGAGGGTATGAACCTTGGATTCAAGGATTTGAGAGAAATTTCGCCAGTCAGCTTCCGAGAGGTTATATTTTAAGAGGGGAGGGCATGATTTTTCCAGGTGAGTTGAGCTAGGGAGGGATAATAATATTGGGTAATGATCGCTACCATGAGACAAATCCGTGCACCGCCAGCAAGCAGCCGCAGCAACTTCCAGGGAGCAAATGGTCAAATCAACACAGCTTTTGTTCTGACCAGGGAGGACTCTACGAGTGGAGCAGCCGTTATTGAGAACACAGAGGTTCAAATCATCAATGATCTCCAACAAACCAATGCCAAAACTGTCACAGTGCTCAGATCCCCATCTAAAGTGATGGCAGTTGAAATCTCCCATAACTAATATTGGGCTCCGTAGGCTCTGTAGCAAGTCTCTCAATATAGGGAGGAAACTCTGCTGGGGGTGAGCAATGTAGATGGAAAGCACAGATACCCTACTGATTTTCGCTGCTACAATGCTGATATCATCTGGGAATGGGGGTAAGGGGAGGGGTAATAGAGGGACTCTGTTATTTATAAGGAGGGCTGCACCTCCGTAACCATCAGACCTGTCGCATCTAAGCATGTTGAAATTTGGAACATGGAAGTTGAGACCTGGTAGAAGCCAAGTCTCAGCAAGAGAGACAGCCAAAGGCTTGTATTTATTCAACAAGAATATGAGGTCGTGCTTCTTATGAAACACACTCCTCACATTCCACTGTAGGAATACTTGTTGGGATGCCATTTTTAAAGTTGGTTAATAAGTTGATGAGTGTGTTGGCAACGTTGGACGGTATACTAGAAGGGGATTGAGATAGAGGTAAATTGGAGGTTAATAGAGAAGTCAAAAGCTGTATTATAAGGTCAATAGTAGAAGTCTCGAGTGATGAGTTAAGAGCACAACCATTAGGTTGAGAAGGTTGGGGAGAGTGGATGATAGATTGGTGTGCAGTTATATCATAGGATTTGGATAGTGTAGGGCGAGGTTTAGGCTGCCGAAGAACAGTTTTTCGGTAGGACTGGGTTTGTTGAAGGGGTTGGGTAGACTGAAGGGACTGGGTAGACTGGATGGGGTGGGTGGGCTGAGAGGGTTGGGTAAATTGTGGGGTCTTTAGGGTATCAGCATAGCTGCGAGTAGTAGAAGGGACCACTTTATTTGCTTCCATATAGGAAATGTTTTTTTCCGCCATCATGATCTTAATGGCCCTCTGCCTGCCATACTCCGGGCAAGCCTTGCTGTTGGCAAAGTGACCACCAGAGCATAGGACACAAAAGGCCCCCGTTTCTGTTACCTCACATTCGTTACTGGGATGCTCATGTCCGCACTTGTTGCATCTAGGCCTAGATCTGCAGATAGACTCCACATGACCAAACCTGCAGCATTTCCTACATTGGACGGTGGGGTAAATATATTGCTGTACAAGAAGAGAATTATAGCAGCAGAAAACTCGTTTAGGTAGAACCTGGCCATCAAAAGTGAGGACACAGGATTCTGTTGGCTTCCACTCCAAGATACCTTCATTAAATGATTTTCGGTTAAGACGCCTGACTTTAATAATCTGCCCACAGCCCTGCGGCACTGTCACAAATTTAATTACTTCATCATCATTCATGTCGGTAGGGATACCAGAAACAACACCCATTCTAGTAATGTTATAAGTAGGAATGC